TCTTTGCCCTCGGTGCCTTATCACTCGATGAGGCCCAAGAATGGGTTACAGCTGTACTGGGCAAAGTTATTAAGGGTGCTGGTGGCCATAATGACTATATTCAGTGAGATTATTTTAATCTTCATCTTCTGTGTGACAAGTGGAGTTTCCCATGATTTATTAAATGTGCCCATCTTTTGCTCAATCTTCTGTGTATTTAAAATGACAGAATAATGTGCAGGATAATTTAGGCTCCATTACAACTTTATGCAAACCTCTATTATAGTACTTATCACATTGTGCTGTAATTTTTTGTTTACATATCTGTCTTTGCCACTTGACTTTGAATTCCTCCAGGGTGTAGGCTCTGACTTCAACTGTCCTAGCTAGCATTCCATCTCCTCCTCTGAACCCAGCAGCTGAACATTCTGAACATAGTTGGCTTTTCATGAATGAGGTGGCTTTGCAGTAAAACTCAGGAGACTAATACGCCTCATTTTCCCACATTCATTTATTCAATGCCTATATTTAATGTAATTACTTATTTTTGAATCCATAAATACAAATTGTATACATTTATTGTGTACAACATGATGCCCTGAAACGCATACTTTGTGGAGTGACCAAAGCACACTGTTTAACATATACTTTTCTTCACACATTTATTTTTTATGATGAGGATGCTTAAAATCTACCCTCTTAGTAATTTTTAAGAACACAACTCAACTGTTATTAACTAGAGTCACCATAACACACAGCAGTTGATCTCTTGAATTTATTCCCCCTTTCAAACTGAAATTTCATGTCCTCCAACCTTCACCAACCCACTTCTGCTCCCTGTACCTTGTAACTGACACTGTATTCTCTGCTTCTGCAAGCATGGCTTTTTAAAGATTCCTAATATAAGAGAAATCATGCAGTATTTGTCTTTCTGTGCCTCTCTTTTTTCACTTTACAGAAGGTCCTCCTATTTCATTTATGTTGCAAATGACAGATTTTTGTTTGTTTGTTTGTTTGTTTGTTTTTGTTTTTTGAGACAGGGTCTCACTATGTAGTTGAGACTGACCTGGAACTCACTATGTAGCCCAGGCTAGTCTCGAACTCACAGTGATCCTCCTGCCTCAGCCTCCTGAGTGCTGGGATTACAGGCCTGCACCACCACGCCCAGTTTAGAATTTTTTTTTTATCATGGAGAGGAGACAGGAGTAAGGTAGTGTGTGTGTGTGTGTGTGTGTGTGTGCACGCGCATGCACGCACGCACGCGCACTCTCGCATGCTTGGGGGGTGGGGGTGGTGATGGTAATGACCTAGCCGATGTGGTTGCTGTTACTGTCATTTTGGTGTTATTGGAGGAATGTTGAGTATGAGGCAAAAGGTGAAGCTGGAGAAAGCACCAAGATGAGTGGCAGAGAGCAATTTATGAAAAGTTATGAACTTGAATATCTGGTATAGTAAAGGGACATAAGCCATGGACAAACATGGCACTTTACAGTGAGTTACCCTTTGACCTTGTAAAGAACAGATGTAAAACATAAAGCCAGAATCTGGAAAACCAATTAGAAGACTGTTGCTATGGCATGGGCAGGAGATGGAGAAGACGGATCGGGGTTAGTTATGCAAGGGTTGGAAAGAAGGAGACTGGGGTGAACCTGACTTGGGAGACAATGCTGGAACTCAGCCGATAATGGAACATGGGGAGTCAGGGAGAGTGGGGAGGCAAGACAGCCTCCCCTGGGAATGATGGAGGCTTCATCCAAGAAAAGAATAGACAAGAGGGTCAGATCTGGGGGAAGAGGTGAGTTTATTTCAGATGTGTTCAGTTTGAGGCGTGTCTGATTTACTCTTAATAGCAGGTAGCTAAAGACACCTTGAAGCTTGAAGGGGTGGAGAGAGAGGGCCTGACCTACAGGTATAAAGTCTGAGATAACAAAGGTGGGGCCGGGAGTTTAGCTCAGTGGTTCTGGTGACTGCCTCCCAAGTGCAAGGGCGCAAGTTCAATCCCCAGTACCAAAAAAAAAAAAAAAAAAAAAGTCAACGTAGGTGGAGGTAGAAACTATGATGGTGGTGGAAATCACCCCAGTGAGTACATGGTATGGAAAGGCAGCTCTGCTCCCTGGGAAATACGAACACAAGGAGCAAAGAAAGAAAAGGGGAGCCCACTGAAGAGGCTGAGTAGAAGAGGAGCGTGCTGGTTGTGCTGGGAACCAGCTGGCTCACCCTGAGGGAAGCTACCAGGACCTCCCAACCCAACCTCTGATGATGTAGTCTTTTCCAGTGAGTCTGCTGTGTCCTTAGAAGTTTCCATAATTATAAATTAGCACTGATTTTTATTTATTTTATTTTTTTTTTTGGTACCAGGGATTGAACTCAGGACCTTGTGCTTGCAAGGCAGGGAGCAGAACCACTGAGCTAAATCTCCTGCCCAAATTAGCACTGATTTTGTCCTTGTCAATTGACTATCTGCCTTGCTAGAATATAAACCCCACAAAGCTAAGGATTGGATCTCTCTTAATCCTTAGGAAACTCCCCTAATAAATGTCTGGTAAATAGTAATTGCTCAATAAATATTTGGGAAACTAAATACCGGAGTGCCAATCCTAGATTGTTGCGGACAGTTGCAAAGAGTGTCACTTTCTTGGAATTACCTGTGTAGCGTTCTAGGTACGAAGTGTGCCTATGCTTATATCTTTAGTGTTTATGTTAAAAATAAGTAAATTTCTACCTTGAGGGTCTCACTTATTTTAAAACATTAACAAAACTTTTTAATCTCTCCTCAGTGGGACAAGGGGTCTGCACATTTGAAGAGCAGAGTTAGTACACACTGCTTCACACTATTGTGCTCCTAAATGGTGATACTGGCTGTTTCCTAGAGCTTCTGGTCTCAAGAGGGGAAACAGTTGGCCAAACTGGCCTTGAAAATGTATCTAGTTGTTCAGCCAGTGTATGACCTAAGGCCTTACTACCACTCCCAGGAGCTCGACTCTACCACTCCAAAGAGCTCGATTTTACCACTCTGAAGAGCTCGACAGCCACAAGATTCACCCAGGAAGGAACACACTGGACACTTTGGAAAGGGAACAGACCTTTCCTAGTCTGGCCAGACGGCACTCCCAGGGCTAAGCAGCTCAGGGAGGCGCCAGCTCAGGGGCTGAGGTCCTTTTTATAAAGGGATAGGCAGGGTGGGGGTCTATACTCAAGATGCTTGCAGAATGTCCCAAGGTTTTCAAAACATTCCTTCTGGGCAGACAAGGAGTGAAACAATCTTTATCTATTTACCCAGAACTACAAGGAGTAAAACAATCTTTTATCTATTTACCCAGAACTACTAAATGTTCACCTGTTAATTTACATTAACCACAGTTGAGACTAGGATTTAAAATTATAAAGTTATGCAGTCCCACACCAGGAATACAAATCGTGATGGGAGTATAGTCACCGTGGAGCATGTACCATGCTTTCAGCAACACTTTTGTGCAAAATTTTATAAGAAAATGTAGCTGGATTTGGTGGTGAATGCCTTTAAATCCCAACACTGGGAGGCTGAGACAGTAGGATCACAATTCTGAGATCCTCAACAGTTTAAAAAAAATGCAGTAAAATAAAATGTATGAAGAGATGGGGATGTCTCTCAGTGTGAAGGCCCTGGGTTCAGTTCCCCAGGATGGGGAAAAGAAAAAGTAGATAATGAGTTTAGAATTATATAATTTTTATGTACAAATCCTCCTATGCATGTATTGTTTGTTACTATTTATTAAAATGCTGAAATTAATTGGATTCTAATGTCAAACACTGAATCTCATACAAATAAATTTGCATCATCATGTGAATATTTAGGAGAGGGCTTGTCTGCGGGCTTTGGGGCAAAGGCACAGAAGGGCTGTAGGTGGTGGAAAACCAGCTCCATGTTTGGACGCACATCTCAGAGATGTGGCTCCTCCCCTTCTCTCACTTTTGCAGCTTGCCTCAGTCTTTACCCTGCAGTGTATGCCGCAGGTTTTTGTAGAAAGGCATAAAATTCTCTAGAATTTCCTGAAAGGGAGACATGCCATGGTATCTCATGTGTGCACCAAGTTTCAAAACTTCTAATCTTTACTGAGAGAATTTTCTGATGGGTGATAAAGAAATGAAAGGGAGTGGGGAGAAGATATTGATAAGGGAGCACACCTTGTTTCTTTGTGGTTACGTACACTGGTTACCGGTACAGGCTGCGGCTGCCTCTTTTGTTATTGAACTCCCTCTTGGTAGCCTGGGCTTGCTCATCTGACTAACATCCTAGTGATGTTTAAAGGGTTAAATGAGTCAACATATTGCAAAGCACTTGGAGCAATGCCTGGAAAACAGTGAGTACTGTCAAACTACTTGCTGCCATTGTTATTTGTTGCCTTAGCCTAGGCTGGAGACTTTTGTAGAGTTATGTTACCCATGTCTCGATCATTTTTATCCATTGGAAATGATGTGCTAAGGTCTAAATATTTATATCCAGGGCTTTGGTGAGGTGGTTAGGCAATGAGGGAAGAGCCCTCATGTATAAAATTCTTGCCCTTATAAAAAAAGCCCAAGGGGGCTTTTAGCCACTTTCTCTATAGGAGGACACAGAGAGAGTGTAGCCACCTGTGAATCAGAAACCGGCCCTCACCAGACACTGAACCTGCTTTGGTCTTGGACTTCTAGCCTATTGTTTTATAAGCCACCCACAGTGGGGTGTTTTGTAATAGCAGTCCCAATAGTCTAAGATATAATTACCATGCAACCTTTGAGCTGCTGACTCTGACCAGTTCCCGGCCCATGTACAGATCCTGATCTGTGGAGTCCACTGACTCATGAGAGGTAAGTTTGTTTCTGTTTTTGCTTTGCCCTCCCTGTTTACCCTGTGACTCTTCCTCCCAGTTCCTGAGCACCAACTGCAGGTTTACATAACTGTTTTGGGAGCATTTCTCTGAAGAATTTGCTCAACCCTGCATCTCAGTTGCCCAGGGAAACCAGCTGGTGATGTCACAAGGAGTCTCACTTCCTGTTCTCACTTGGTGTCCTTCTGCTGAGGCTAAGGCAGGGTCCAGTCCTGTGCACCCAACTCAGCTTTGTCTCTTCCCCACCAGGACAGCGCAGAGACCCTGTCCCTCTTCCAGCATCACCTGCACCTAAGTGTGTGGGCATTAGGACCACGGATCTCTCCCTTCACTTCTTCCCCCCAAGTACCGAAAGGCCTGTGGGTAACCCTTCCTTCTCTAAGGCAAAGGTGTAAATCTAAAAAAGAAAGAAAAAGAAAAAGAAAAATCCTTGGGGCTGTTGCCTGGAGGATCAAAGGTTGTTGGAGAGATCTCAGGAGCAGATCCTTACCTAGGCACACCCTAGGCACACCCCGTAGTGGTGGTCTCCACCCTTTGCCTTATCAACCTGCTACTCATTCTCTCAAGGGATAGTACTGTAATTTCCTGTTCTGCTGAAATGAAAAGATAGTAGGGCCATGGTAATATTTTACTACATTTTGTGAGTATTTCACAATAGGGTTCTTCAACCCTGCCGCTGCCCCAGTGACAGTCCAATAGTGCAAAGTGAGCCCTTGCTTCATACTTTCTTCAAAGCTCAGCCCTCAAACAAGTGCAATCTACCCAGATAATCTACCATTGGCCAAATGCAGGTGTCTGAAAACCAGCAACAGTAATAAACAATAATAACCCTTTCTCCCACATTGGAAAAGAACCCAAGAGGGAAGCAAAATGCAGCCCATGTTGGAACTCTCATTCCCAAAGGGGTGTGTTTTCCAGCTCTCCAGCCTGCAGAGGTCTTGAGCTGCGACCACAGAAGGAAGGAGGCGACTGGACGTGGCACGGTGACCTGCATAGAGGTAGCCATGACGAGGACTTCTACATGTACATACCACTTCATTCTTTTGAACTGGTACATTTTCCTCAATTTTTACATCCCACAACTTGGAACCTTCTTCCAAGACAGCGCACAGTCGAAGTACTTGACCCTCCTCAATCTGGTAAGTCTACGAACTCAATATGTGTGCGGTATCAGTGCTTCTTCATGTATCACCCTTGCATTTTATAAGATAAAATATTCCACTATCAGTCATCCTTTATTGCTGGTGAGTTTTACTTGCTGTCTTAACAGTATGCGCTGAGAAACCCTTTTGATAGCTATTCGTGGCTACATTTTTGGGCTGGCTAATTGTTAAATGCTCTTTTGAAAAGAGTCTTGTCTTGGAGCCCAATAAAGGGACCAGACTAATAGTTTCTCCATGGAATTGACTACAAATACGGGAGGGATTTTGAACCTTGCTTGGGAAAGTCTGTGAAGAGAAGGCAGAGTGGCGTATGTTGTGTAGGAAGTGTTATTTCCAATGGAGGAATAATGCTATTTTACAGCACACACAGACTAACAGATTTATCTAAGAAAAGCAAACACATTTTGCCATGTTCTGCTCCCACTTCAATTTTTTATAGGCTCAAGCTCCATCTGAGAGGACAAATCACCCAGCAGAATAATCACAAATACATATTTTCAACTCTAAAAACCAATCTGATAACTTCATCCAGTCTTATCTTCCCGATCTGGCTGACCCAAGTTACTGGTATATGAAGAGTGAATGGGAGAGAAAAACAGATTTTATAAAAGTATTTTTGGATTTTGTTTAAAAAAATTTTAAAGCTAGAAATGTGCGTCCTTTAGGGGATGAGAATCAGTATTGAGGCTTCTGAGTGAATATAGGAGGCCATGCAAATATCTGGTTTCATAAACTGGACAGTGTATCCCAGTCCTTTGGAATCAAAATCCCCATGTGACAAGCAGAGGGCATGCATGGTCAGCAGAGCTGACTGAGGTGCTTGGGAGGCCGGACAGAGCGGGTTGAAATTAAAAAGGCCAGGAGGCACCTCCTCCTCTTTGCTGGCCGTTTCCTTGCCTCTTGATTCTGGCCCGAAAAGAATGAACTCCAAACAACAGCTCTAGTATGTTGGAAAATATCAAGGTGGTGCTTGTTTTAATCCTAAAATTTTATTTTAAAAAATTCACAGGAAAAAGAAAAAAGGTGTTTTGTGGAATGGTGAGAGTACCGTAATTTTTAAAAGGAGTTTTGTGTCTCTATTGGCTTTGTATTTCAAAAGGGTCAGCTAAAGGATGGGGGTAGCTGAGGTAAAAATGGTGTTCTAATCAAAGCCAAATTCCAGGACGGATGTTCTGTCTCACGCAGCTGTGGCTAAGAACAGAGTGGTCAGCTACTCCCATAATCCAGCTCTCTGACTTCTTGTTCTAGCTCACTTACACGCCCAGGGGCTTTCTAACACTCTCATACCCTGGGCTTCCTGTCATTATTGCCTCCTTGGCTGATCAGCCTGCTCATCCCAGTCATTTTGCCTTTTGTTGAGTCCAAACTTTCCTCTTCCCCAACCTTAGCTGCCTCTGCCAGGTTCAGTAGATCAGCTCCTCCCTGTGCCCTCCCTATCCAATCCACCAACTGGCCTTCCAAAACTCGGAGTTTTATTTGGTTCTTCAATAAAACATCATGACTTCTTTTTAAAATATGGTTGGCTGCTTCTGTGGCTCCCTCCTGCTTTGAAGAATCAGTCCCAAACTCCTGGTTTGTCCTGCACAAAGGACTGTGTCTCCCCAGTACTGTTCCGTAGGCTTCCTGCCCTGCTTCTCTGCCCATATTCTCAGGATGCTCAGAAAAACACCAGGATCTGTGTCTCCCTCACAGATGCCTGAAGTTCTGCATTCTTCCTAAAATTCCCTGCTGACGAATTTCAGCCCAAGTTTGTTTTCCTTTCGCTGACTTTTGAGAACGTGCCTTGTAACTGCTTATTTATGTATAGCATTCTTTTGTAAGTCTTCCTCCATATGCGAGTTCTAACCCTCCAATCAGAGTATGGCTCAGAAACAGAAGTTTCTCCTTCTAGATCCAAACAGTGTTCAGTTCTCCATTGTTTGTACCACGTGGTAGGCATGGGGTACTAGGTCATGAAAACCGGGTCATGTGACCTGCTGACTTGGCTTGAAAGCTTTTCCTGAACTCCTGGGCAATAAACCTCTGCGGGCTTCTCAGGAATAGAAAGGGACTACTATGTGGTCATTTCTTATTAGTATCATGTATGAACTGTTTCCCATCTGGAAAGACAGGCAGCATGTATTTCAGAAGGTTGATTTAAGGATAGGTTTCAAATGTGTTACTTAAGGTAAAATTTGGGGCTTCCAAATCTCTAGCTCTTGAAGTCTCATGGACTCTCTCTCTCTCTCTCTCTCTCTCTCTTTTCTTTTAACTGATGTATGTTAACAATGATTAATTAGTTGAAGGTTGCTCTGATCTAATCATAGAAATTTCATAACTTGTTGTAACACTCAAGTATTTATTTTGCCTCTCATTTTATTTACCTTGGCTTGATGATGTTAGTATTCAGCCCTGCTTATCAGGAAGTTCCTATGTCTCCTTTAAACAGCTTTCATTTTTTAGTATAAGTTATGTTCCTTTGTGGTGTGCGATACTGGGGATTAAACACAAAGTTTTCACTGTGCTAATTTCCCATTCTTTTTTAAAATTAATTCTTTTTTTTGAGACAGAATTTTGCTAAAGCACTAAGTTGGATAGCCTGGGCTCAAATTATGCTTCTCCTGCCTCAGCCTCCCAGAGAGCTGGCACTATGGGTGTGCTCTGCCACATCTGACCAGTTTTGTCCCATTTTGAGGAGCAAAGATCATCAGTGCAAATCAGCATTCTGAGTTTTGCCCCCCTCAAAAAAGAAACACACAAAAAACCTCAAGGGATCAAAGAGAAGACAAAAAGGCACAACTGCAGGATTGGTGGCAGAAGTACAGAGCCAGCTACAGAGCAGTGCTGGGAAGGAGGAGAGAACTCTGCCTCATGAGGAAGTAAACCTAAGATTCTCTCCCTGGAGGAAGGAGCGCAGCCAGGTGCCTACAGCCCTGAGCACTGAGCTTGGCTCTCAGTTCTGCCTCACGCTCTCTGTGACCTGGGCTCATCCCTTGTGCATGGCTTTCATTTTGACTTCTGCCAAAGAGAAATTAAAATAGTGCCTAACCACACTGTGGCCACAAGGAACCCACCTGCCAGGTGGCAAGCGTACGTGGTGTCGGCTGCTAGAGAGAGAAGATGGGAAGGGAAGCTCTGATGGAGAGGTGCAGCCAGGAGGGTGGCTCGTGGGATGCCTGTGTCCTCACTGAGACCCAGGTGGGCGAGCAGTGGATCCAGAAATGGGTCATTTGCCACCTCGCATGTTATCCTTCCTTGGCAGGCTAGAAGAGAGCTCTGCCTCAGCCCAGCCACTGTCCTCCCCACAGTAGCTGACTGGCAAGCTGGGCAGTCAGGACGTACAGTCAACAGAGCAGCAAGCCCTACACCACAGAGGCCCAGAACCTGGGCGTGGAGAGCAGGACAGCCCCAGTGCTCCTGTTGGTGAAGCCCTCCAGGTTCCTCCTCCTGCACCAGCCCTCACCCCAGGGAATGCAAGCCAGGGACCTGTCAGGTCAGCCGCAGCAATGCTGTGTGCAGAGTTCATTGGCTTTGCTGAGGTTTCCCCTTGTTAAAAATAAACATCCTTCTGAAACACTGTAAGGTTGGTGCCACATAACTGGGCTCTCCAGGAGAGATGAGTGACTGGAGTCCGAGCTTCAGGAGCAGAAACTTTGGTATCCGCTCACTTCTGTGTGACCTTAACTTCTCTGTGCCTCAGTTTACTCACTGATAGTGCTGAAGAGCCTGGATCCTCCCCTCGCCCCAGCACTGAGGTGCTCACTCCCCACCTCCCAGGAGAAGGGGCCTTGGCTTCCTATGACTCACAGATAGTGACCCTTCCTAGACCTGCACCCAGCAGGAGGAAGCTGCTTCCCCAAGGCTCTGGTCCCGCCCAGCTGCCTGACCTGAGTACAAAGGCCTCACTCCAGGGCAGCTCTGTAGGGCCTGGCAGCTCCTCTGCCTCTGCCCGCCCTCCTCCAGCCTGCTCCTTCCACCCACTCCAGAGCCAGAGAACATGGGGAGCTCCCTGCAGACACAGGAGCAATCTCCCCTTCTGCTTCCAGGGCCCCCGGCCTTCACCGTGTCCTCAGTAAGGGTCCAGAAGATCCCTTTCCCTTCTCTGCCTCCTGTCTCTTCCTCCTCCTCCTCCACTTTGTTTCCTTACTCCTAATAACAGCATATCAGGGTAGAGCCAGTCCCGGCTGGGTTAGGCCCAGTTCCATTTTGGCTGCCCACGATGTGGGCTGGGTTCTGACTGGTCTGAGCCGCTGCAGAGGAGCCCCCAGCCCTCCTGTGACCTCCTCCATCCCAACACCTCCTGCCACTGTCCTCCAGCCATTCTCCTCAGCCACACACCAACCAAACATTCCTATTCGTCTCTCTGGATCAACCCACCATCCCCCCCCCCGATTATAAACAGTGTGATCTCTTTCAGGGAATTTTTTTTGTTAGTCCATGTTTGCAGTGGAGTTGGCACATGACACACTGTAATTCCTTTTTTCATCTCATTTTTTCCTTTTCCTTCCCCCTCCCTGCATCTCCTGTTCTCCTCCCCATTATTCCAGGTGTGTTCTTCATGATTTCTTCACCCATGGTTCTTCATCTCATTCCTTTATCCCCGCCTTTTCCTTCAGCGGAGGTCACAGGAGTTACGCCTGGAATAGTATAGCGCACATCAGAACAGACAGACCTGGCAGCCGAAAGCTCCCTGCCACCTGCACCAGACAGCAACACCGTCTTGACCATTGTGAGAGAAAGTGTTCGTTCCCTGCTTGCTCCTGTATTCTGGGCTAGTCTTTCACCCGGGGGTTTCATCATTCTGAAGCAGAGGAATAAGAAAGTCCCGGCCTGGCTGAGTCAGACACAGAATCTCCAACGGGGCGCTGTTGGGTTATTTGACTCACCCAACAGGCACTGTAACATCTTGCTCAGGGAACTTGTGGAATCTCCCCCTCTAGAATCATTTTTTAATGGAAGAAATTCTCATTTCCTGAGGTAGTTTATAAGGGCTCTGGCATTAAGGTAAGGCAATAAGGGCAATGATTTAGAGAGGCTCAATTTCTATGATTTTAAGATGTTTATGGATTTGTGAAGACGCGGGGATATAAAAACTATCCCTTAGCTACCGTTTCTTAAATTGCACTAGTTATAAAAAATGTAAATTCAGCTGTCACTGGCAGTAAGTTTGTCAGCTAGCAACTGGGATGAAAGATAGCTAACAAATTTAGAACAGCAGCGTTTCGGGGAAAGGCACTGAATCCACACTGGGGCAGAATCAGGAAGGACCTATACACAGCATGAGCACAAGAACTACAGCTCTGAAGTGAACTCTGAACAAGAGGACAGGGGATGTCTGCTCTCCTGGGAAACGCCAGTAATTTTGTTACAAGATTCTTAGGAGAAGACCAGTTGTTGCTATTCTATTTTGATGTTACTGTGTACTTTGCTAGGGTTGCCATAACAGAGAACCCACAGGCACCAACCAGCTAAGCACCAGAAATCTACTGCCTTGGAGCTCAGAGGCTGGAATCTGAGACCAAGGGGCCACTTGGGCTGGTTCCTTTCTCCATGGCTCGTGGGTGCCCACCTTTCCTTGTATTCTCTTGTGGTCCTACCCTCTGTGTGTATGTCTATGTCTTAATCTCCTCTTATAAGGACAAAAGCCATGTTGCCTTAGAACCTACCCATATTAATTAGCTTGATCATTTCTTTAAAGACTTGATCTCCAAATACAGGGAGGTTCTGAGCTTCAACAGGTATTAGGTATTAGGCTTCGGCATGTAAATTTGTGGGGGGTGCACAATTGAGCCCACAGCAACTGACATTTCCTTCCTAGATTGTTCCTTCTGTGCATGTTTTGTAAACACTGCCTTGCATTGTCTTTGGAGGGAAAGCAGGCCAGAGTTTGGCCAAATTGTCCTTGACCACAGCCGTCTCCCACCACCAAAGTGGCTTCCTCTTAGAGTCCCTGGCATGTCACCCTCCTTAACCTCTAGATCTGCTCTGTGCTCCTTTTCATCCCAGACCTTGTCTATGACCTTCTGGCAAAACCCTAGCGGCTCCCTCCTGGGTGCTGGTGTGGAGGCTCCCCGGAGTGTTCTTGTTGACACCGAGGCCAGCAGGCCAGTGCTGGGTAAGATCAGAGGCAGCCAGGCCGCCCTACAGTTGGCATCTGCAGATGCCAGGGTGGCATGTGCCTGCCAGACAGTAAGGAGGGAGAAGGGGCCGAGGGGGAGACGTGATTGGCGATTCTGCAGGGGGGAGCCCAACTTTATCGATGGAGAAATCCCCGAGGAGCTGAGTAATGTCGTTTCCCTAATCCAGTTTCCACATTCTGTGATGGGGCAGAGCGACAGAAAGCATGAGCTTGACTCACAGTGACTCTGAGAAGCTCTGGCATAAGGACAGCAGGTCACGTGGACTTCACATGCCAGGTGGGGCGGCCTCTCTCGCAAAGAGGGAAGACCTGGCAGGCTCTCGGTGTGTGATTAATTGCTGTGCTCATGGAACAACACCGGCGTTTTCACCTGGGGCCCAGGCCCCATGCCTGCTCGTCCTGACGACAGCAGTGACCTCTGTTGCCCAGGCAGCTGGCAGGAAAATCCACGTGAGGTGAGACCTGCCAGGGTGTGGGGAGGGCAGGAGGCAAAGGAGGCATACTTGTGCAGGTGACTTTTTGTCCCAGTCCTAGGGAATGGATGTCAAAAGCACCAGCGGAATGACAAGTACTAGAGTGGCAAGCCCTGCGTGGCATAAAAACTGTCACCCGGTCCCTCGCACAAACCTCTCCTGGTGAAAAGCTTTGTCTCCCCTTGGGCATCACAGGGTTCTTGTCCAGATCTGATTTCTACCACCCAATCCCTCTCCACCCCTTGGCAGCTCCCCTTCTGTGCCTGAGATGAGGGCATGTCCCCCATCCCTATCCCTACGGGGATTCAACTCCCCAGACCCCTTAGCCCAGCTCTCTGGAAACCACCTGATAGGAATTTCCAGGCAGAAGTTCCTCTAGGCAGGAGCTTCTCAACTTTAGCTGCCCAGAATGAGAATCATTTGGAAGGATTTAAAAAATCCTGGTGCTTACTCGGTACCCCAAGACAATGGTACCCTCTGGGACCCTCTGGGGCTAGAAATCAAGCATCAGTATTTCTTAAAAGTTGTTTTTAATTCTTCCGCCTGGGTGTATTGTCTCTCTTCTTACACAGTGCTTTTAGTCAGATGTTCTTAGAAATTGGATAATTTTCTTTTTTAAAGTCTGGCTCAAAGGGCTGGGGATGTAGCTCAGTGGTTCCGCCACCTGCCTCACCAGTGCAAGGACCCGAGTTCAATCTCTTTTTTTAAGGAAAAAAAAAAAAAAAAAAAAAAAAAAAAAGAATTAAAAGCTCAGTGCCTGGCACATAACATGTGATGTTAGTTATTAGAGTTTTGAGCAGTCAGCAAGGATTTTGAATGATAAAGTTATGTCTAATACATTGGTCCTAGAACTTTAGCCTACATAGGGACACCTGAAGAGTTTGCTTAAAAACCACCTCTTGTACCCTTTTCCTGAGATTATGATTCCATAGTCTAGAGTGGGGTGCAAGTACCTGGGTGCTGGGGGACTGGGAACCCAGCTGGGGTAGAGACTGCATCCATCTCTGTTCCAGAACCTGCTGGCTAAGAGCGAAGTCCAGGCCGCCCCTCATTTACTTTCAGCAATTAGGATAGGTTCTGATGTGAGCTTCACTCAAAACCAACCCATCTTCATATGAGGTGGTTCACTGGGCCTTAAGTTGGAAGCCAGGAGATTATGAAAAACACTAAGACTGGGCAGTTTTCCCTTCCAAGCCATATTGCAGGTTGAGCATCCCAAGTGCGAAAGTTTGACATTTAAAATACTTCAAAATCAAAACTTTTTGAGCCCCAGTGTGATGTCCAAGTGGGAAATCCTACATAGTGAAACTCAGTTTCCTCCACAAAATTATTTTAAAATGTTGTACAAAATTGCACTCTTATTTGTATAAGAATGATGGCACATGGAACATAAGTGAATTTTGTATCTATACTTAACCTCCCACCCCCAAGATGTTTTATTGTGTAGATGCAGATATTTCAAAATCTGTAAAAATTCAAGCTTTGAAATACTTCTTGTGGTCCAGAGCATTCTGGACAAGGGACACTAAACTGCACTCCTTTGAAAAGCCTCTGCTTCTCTTCTGCCTTGCCTTGGGGACCTCACAGTATTCGGGAGCTCAGGAGAACCCATGGCTCAGCTGTTCCATTCTTTGGACTCCACATGTTAGCACAGTGCTCTGCTCTAACCCTGAGTCTGGACTCCTAGGGAGACTTCAGCCCTAGGTCTTCGCCTTAGTCTTCTCCCTAGGAAGCCACCTGACCCTTTCCACCACCATACCTGGCCGTTTGGTTTCAGCTGTTTCGTTTTTCCCACTTCTGTGCAGCCAAAGTATTTTTATCTCATTACAGCCTCCTTTTTAGCTGACTCTTTATTTTGTTTCCATTTTAGCTCAAGTCCATTACACTAAATACTGTACACATTATTATCCCCTAAGCAAATTTCCTCAATCAGTTTGAGCGAGCAAGGGCAGGGCCCAATGAGCTGGAAGGCCAGGCTCTCAACCAGAACAATCCTGCAGCCCCCTCCTTCTTGAATCAACATTGCTCCCAGAGGGATGGGGTTTTACATCAATGAAAAGTGTATTAATTAAAGCAAGTGAAAATGCTCTCATTTGTTGTAATGAATTTAGCTCTTGCAGGCCATTTTCTTTGGGGTCGCCTGTCTGGATGATGTGCTGAAAAGAATCAAAGGGAGGAAAGACATCAGGTTCATCACTGCCTTCAGAGACCTGCTTTTTGCCACCCTGGCTTTTCCTATCTGCACTGTAAGTTACTAAGACATATGTCCGATAGAATAGACATGTACAAATGGGTGGTCAGCTCTCTGGGGCGTTAAGACTGTTTGGGATTCCATTACTGTAACCTGAGCAGCTGCATTTGCTTAAATGTTCCATCTGAGGACTGCACCTTGTTGTCCAGTGTCTTGGGGAAACAGGCTACATTACCAATCAGCTTAATCATGCAGTTTTGTATCTTTGGGAAGGCTTGGTACAAATAATTTATTGCTGTCTAAAGGGGAAGTCTGAAGGACCCTTCTTAATAAAATAGTTGACCCTTCATATCTTTGGGTTTCACATTCACTAATTCAACCAAATTTGGGTCAAAAAATATTCAAATAAATATTTAAAATCATCATAATAACAATATTTTTTCTCTCATTGAGTTTATTGGTACATTTTAGGTATACAGTACAGTTACATTCATTATTGGGATCTTGTACCTTTACATGACAGGTCTTGGTTCTCATTTTTTCCCCTTGTCCCTCCCCTCCCTTCACTCCCTCCTCCCCTCCCCATTTACAAACATTTTATTTCCATTTTTTCATTTTCTCCTATTTTTTTCCTTTCCCTTATCACCTGTCCCCTACCCTTCCCACTTTCCCTACACTTTTAGCCCTTTTCTTCCTATTTCACATTGTTAATTATCTCATTAGGGTCTTATGTATTATTACAGTTTTTCACACCAGAGAAACTAGTTGGTATTTACATGTGTGACTTATTTATTTCACTTAGGAGTATATCCTCAATATGTATCCATTTTCTTATGAATAAATCTAATTTCTCATTCTTTATAGCTGAGTAGTATTCCATTTTATTGAAAAACCACATCTCCTTTATCCAGATAATAACAATATTTTAAAACCAATACATTCTATGGACTCTATAACACTTGCATTGCACTAGGTATTGAAAGTAATCCAAGGACAGATTAAACTACAGAAGGATTTGCACAGTTTATACACAAGTGCTAGGCCACTTTACACAAGACTTGGGCATCTATGGATTTGGTACCATTGGGGAACCATCCATGGACACTGAGGGGCTGGACCACTGAGATACCGCTGATTCCACCAGAGTGATGAGACTGGAGAGCCAGAAGGAGGAGATGGCTTATTTTCCCTTTACACATCTTGCGTCCCTTGTTACAATAAGTTTATGTTACAAATGGAAAACATCAAATAAGAAAATAAAATGAATAAAAGATGGCTTAGTGTAGGGAACTTGGTAGGCACCTCAACTCATTGTGCTGGATGGAATGGTCATTAGGAAAAGCAAGCCATATTCAAGGGACAGGACGCTGGCTTGCTGATGCCACCCACATTTCTATGCCATTGTTTATGTCTCTCTTCACTGGCTGGAGTGGAATCCAACTGAGATCAAGTATGCCAGCTGCCCAGCAGGGCCTATGATTACCGCTACCTTTGTACACCTGTCATTGTCCTGCTGCCTATAACCCTGGAACTTCAAAACTAGATGCGAAACAAGCTTCTCCAAACACTACTGAGTTCTCACCTGACAGAGCTAGGACTGGCACTCCAGGTTTGCTTTGCAAAAGACCTCTACTCCCATTCCCTTAAAGATTGTTTCCAAACGTCCAGAGATTAAGTTTATCCAACTAACAATGAAGCTCATTCATTTTTTAAGGTTAGGAATTAAGCCTATGAAATTTCAGAAGATAGGAAAATCACAAGATGAATACCCAGCTCCCCGCAGTCTGGGCACTGACTTTGTGACACAGAGGACAGGGGCTCTGACAACACATCCCAGGAGGACAAGAAATGGAGATGCATGAAACTTCTGAGAGGGCCGGGGATTCAGCTCAGTGGTTCCATCTCCTGCCTTGCAAGCACAAGGACCTGAGTTCGAACCCCAGTACCAAAAAAAAGGAACTTCTGAGCAAGGGAGAGATGGGCTCTTGGTGAACTGGCTTGTGACCTGTCCCAGGAGTTTGACACCTCTCATTCCCTTTCCCAGTCTTCCTGCTGTTCCTTTCTATGCCTCCGTGTGTGTGGCTGACTAGACCTAGGACCTTTCCCTGAGCTACATCTGCAGCCCTTTTAATTCTTATTTTGAGATGGGGTCTCATGATGTTGCTAAGTTGCCAGGCTAGGCTTGAACCTGCCTCCCTCCTCCATCAGCCTCCTAGAGTGCTGGAATACAGGTGTGTGTCACCAGAGCAGGCTGCCACACCTATTTAAAGTGGGCAATGAACTTAGGAGAATGGAGCCATTCCATGTGCCCTATCTTGGCGCTCTTGCATAAGCTTAGAGAAGAACTTACTGGTTACAATACAGGACTAATGTCTGTGCATCTGTTTCTCCCTATCTTCTCTCCCTGTCATGCTGAAAAATAACTGACCCCTAACTCACTGACACATTGAGATATCCCCAGAGAGTACAGCTAGAGCAATCCTACAATAAACATCATCTCCCCCTTCATTTTACATTCCCATGCTGTGAATGAGTCTAAGATATGAAAGCAGGGATCTCTTTTTATTTTGCTGTCTTTCCTCGATTGGCTTAGAGAATTCTGGTTGAAAACCAACTTAACAGTCCTGTTTTTGTGCTTTTCCTTCCAGTTTGTATTTTTGGCATTCTGGACCATATTTCTCTACGACCGAGAGCTTATTTACCCCAAGGTCCTGGACGGCATGTTTCCAGGGTGGCTGAATCACGCAATGGTGAGTGAAGGGAAAAGTCAGTGCCGGCAGCCTCGGGTACCGAGAAGCCCAGCTTCCCACCCGCCAGCATCCGGGTCACACTTGCCCCTGGACTCTGTCACTGCTGAGAGCTCCCTGAGGGCATGGCAGGGCGTCCTGTGTGACAGGGCAGAGGTGAGGTCCGCACAGGACTGTCACCTTGCTTAAGAAGTCGTTAAACACTCCGGAGGGCAGGGAGCTTTTTGCAGCTTCGGTCCTGAGAGAGAAGCACCTTCCACAAATAGCACGGACACCAGGAGATTACTACGTAGGAACCGAGTTAAAGCAAGTGTTGCACACAGTTCGCCCCAGCAGTGGCTCCCTCACTAGTTCTTCAGGGTTGAGCTTCACAAATGGGATGCTTATTTACATATTTCCGCGAATATATTGCTATTTGGTTTTCATTTTTATTCATTCGCATCTTCTTGAGGGGTTAAGTGCTCTGTTTCCCTGAAGATAAGACCTGACTGGGAAATAATCAGTACTGAAAACTAAAGATCAGAAATGCCAGCCCCAATCAGCTATCCTTGCCTCGTCTGCCTCACAGCGCGGCCGCCGAGCAAGAGAATACTGAGGTATAATCCTCTGCCTGACACTGGCCACCACCATGGTAACATCCGGCTAGGGCTTATTTTCCACTTAGGTCTTCTTTTCAGGGAAACATGGTAGCAAACAGCATCCGTTCTGAGGTGTGCACACCACTAGAACTTGGGGTGGGGGCAGTAACGGTAGCCCGGATGTGCAGGTGGCGCTGCGGGTTCCCATCGGAGGACTAAGCCTGAATCCTGGGTGTTTTATGCACAAGGTGGTCATTCTGAATCCTATCTTAGCTTCACAGTACTCACAAGTGTGTTTCCTCGTTGGTCAGGAGTTTATAAAGCAGTCTCAATTCTTGGAAGCAAATTAACTGTTTTAATTTGGGGGGAAATCACCAGTCATAGCGTATCAAGGCTCCAAGTTCACTCACAGGCTTTCTTCTGGCCCTGAACCCTTCCACTGTCTCAAAACGCTCATGGTGGTCAATTTGGAAAAGCAACTCAATCTACTAACACTGCTCCCCACCCCTGTGTGTCCTGGGAAAAAAGCCTTACTTTCAATTAAATATTTGCTCCGTGAAATACTGGTTATTGACTAATAGGCCACAGTTGTGATCCCATTTAATGTTCAAGACCAGAACCTATGATTTAAACAAGCCCCTCCTGGGCCAAGGATGTAGCTCAGTCACACAGCACCTGCCTGGCAAGCACCCAGTCCTGAGTGTGATTCCTGGAACCAAAAATAAATAAACAAATGAATAAATAAGTAAATAAGCCCCACCTTTCAGAAGCCCCTCCTACCAGCCTCTTCTTGTCTTCCTAACTCTGCGCTGACAATCATTTGAGACTCCTGCCTAGGAAGTATATGGCACGTTACACTACACAATGCCTACTCCTCAGGTGTGAGCTCATTTAATTCATGCAACCTTCTTTTGATAGTTACCATCTCAATTAAAAAAAGGACAGTTAAGAGAGGGTTACTGATTGGTTTTTCAGCCTCTCTTATCAGAGATGGCACAGCCAAGATTGTGATCCAAGCCTAATTCATTCTTGGTAGCATTTTGTTACAGTTAAGTCTAGAAACCGTGGTTTGATCTATTTTGTGATTGACCAGGCCATCTATAGGATGTCACTTTGCTTGATTAATTAATATAGAAAAGTGAGAATTTTCATTTTAAAAAGGTACAGAATCTCCAGCTGTATGCCAAGTGAAGACTCTGAGAAAGTGATTTGAAACAATTGGCTAAAGTAGATGTAACTAAAATAAAAAATAAAGGCACGGTCTCAAAAGTACCTTTTACTTGGGCCCAAACACATTGAGACACCTTGCCAAGGGTCACACTGATGTGCCACTGGATTCCTTCCAGATAGTTATGATGGCAATACCCCAGATTTGTGACCTTGCCAAATAAATAGCCATTCGGGTTGTTGATCATTTTGGGAGCAGAGAGCTGGATGATGTACAGCACATCCGTGAGCTAATTAGCAAGGTAGATACTGCACGGTAGAGATCCTTTGGTCCTTTTGTGCCTCCTCAACCTGGGAGGGCTGGTTGCTGGTGACCCTTTGGGAAACAAATACTTCATATCCCTTAGAGAGAATCGGTAAGAGTCATAGGAAGTGGGGTAGTGACGGTGAGGACAGGAGGCAAGCGCCTGCCTCGAGTCAGACACAGATGCATCTGTTTCTTTTAACTTAATTGAAGGAACTCCCAACAGAGCCATCTCTAGGAAAATGTCACTATCAGCAAAACCAGCTTGGGGAGTCCCTCATGCAGTCGTCCCCAAACTTCTGCTTCCTTCAGTTCCTGCTCCGAAAAAGAGTGCTCATCGCTACATCTCATCTCTTCCTCAGAGCATCACTTACTCTGGACATTTCCTGTCTTCCCTGTTAAATCATCCAGGTGTATTGCCTCAGGAATGCCCTTTGCCACATACATATTAGTACCGTCAGTGCAAAACAGTACAGAAGTGACTGTTCCTGGGTGCTAGAGTTTGTATCTCAAGTGTCCCCCAAAAGCTCATGTGCTAAAGTTTGGGGGGCAGTGAAATCATTAAGAGGTGGAGCCTATGGACAGGAAGTTGGGTCCCTGGGAAGCGTGCCCCTGGAAGGGAAAGGAGGGTCCCCAGACCTCTTCTTCTTCCTATTCTTTTATTTCCAGGCCATGAAGTGAAAGGTTTTGTTCCTCCACACGCGCCCTGACTTGCCGTGCTGCCTTGCCATGGGCCCGTGAGCAGTGGGACCAGTCAGTCATGGACTGGAATTTATGATATGATGAGAAGAAGTCTTTTCTTTTCATAAATGGATTATGCCAGGTACTCATTCTAGAAATGGGCAGCTGACTAACACGCTGGGTCAGTGTGCTAACACTTCCCATGTTTTACCAGCGCCCTCCATGACAAACCCAGAGGATGCACATAATGCTAGGAGAGTCCCCCTGGGAGCCAATGTGGTGATGGGCAGCTTGGTGTGGGACCAGCCCTGCTGAGGAATGGAATGGCTCCTGCCCTACTCCCCCTTGCTCTGTACAGTATGAGAATTACTGCTGTCCTAAAAGGTTCTTCCACTTCACAACGCCCCTTCTGTGTGCTGTAGTGGTTTTAGCTTTGGAATATTTGCCCTCTTGTCATTTGTGACCTGTCCCACATTTTATGAGTAGTAGTTGTCAACTTCAGAAATACCATTCTATCCTTTGAGACAGTGTGGTTCTAAAAGCATCCTGGTTAATCAGGTCTTTGGAATCCTCCTGGCCCAACTCTTCTAACTCACTGGAAACTCACCATTGCAGTAGAGTCTGTCTGAACTGTTGTCTCTAATGTTCATTTTCCTGACGTTCAGTGACATCAGTGGGATATTTGCATCCACCTCGGACAGGCTGCCTGCTCGGTAAAAAGAGCCCCTGTTTGGCTTGGCTGCCTTAGTTAAAGTAGATCAACCTGACTATTTTGTAGCTAAGCAGTTCTCCAGTCTTCATAAAAGAAGGGAAAGAACAGCAAAGTAATCCTCCAGGTTTTGCCAGGAAAACATTAACTCCTCAGGTCTTATCTAAATGCTTGCTAAAGATAGAACCAGAGCAGACAGATTTAAATAGCAGGAAGAAGACTCTCAGTAACTGAGAAAACTATCAGATCCTAACCGGAGGGGAGCCAGGGAACTTACTTTTCTGGAAATCAACCTAAATTGTTCAGCTTGCCCCAAAGCAGCAGTGAAATAGATCAGAGTTCCTCCTCGAACTTCTCTGCATCTGAAAATAAGTGCACAGTTACTGAGAATGTGCACGAAACCATGTATAAAGTGTCAAGAACTGCCCAAGTATACATTATTATAACATGGACCGTAAGAATCCCCACTCAGGGTCCCTAGCCTTACACACAGTCTTAGAGCTAAAAATGCCTCGTTGATATTAGAGGACATCTCAGCACCATCTGTCACTAAGAGACAGGCTCCTCCTGGCTCCAAGTACAGTTGTCTGATTACTGAATACATTGTCATTTGTTTACTCAGAAAATAATTAGTGAGCACCGCTTCTGTGTTATACTGTGATCAATATTTGGTAAGTGTGTTGACATCTAGTGATCTTGAGTCTGGCTGATGCTCACATAAACACACACACATGAAGCTGAATTAATAAAACAACAGTTAACACTAATGCAGGACATTGATATGGGTGGTGACCTGCAGTACTATGTGATTACTGTCAAAGTGAATGGTGAATGATCAGGGCAGGATGGTGTCTGTCTCTATGTGTCTTGGCCTGGTTGTGACCCACATACAGGCCATAGCTGGACAATCTGGAGATCTCTGCATACTCCCCCAGGGCATGTTGGGAGTCCAGATGTCCAAGGAGGGAAACAGCCTTCTGGTTCCTCCCTCAGTCACAGAAGGCAAAATGTGACCTATCACTAGAATTCTGATCTGGTCCCAGATTTTCCTCTCCCCCAGTAAGTGTGGCGTGAGATTGCTGGGATACTGAGTAGAAGTCAGTGAGTCTGGAGGAGAAAAGAAGACCCGCCATGGGCATGTGAGGCCTCAGTTGCCGCCTGTAGTCCTGGCATTACAGCCTCCCCCATACTTTCCTGAGCACTTACTCTCTAGCAAGCCCTTCCTCTGGGCATAGGCCACCCATAGTCTGGGTATCTCTGAGTAGGTCAGTGCTTTCTAGCCCTTAGGGAATAGGCTGTTCTGTGAATCTGTGGGAATCTATGAGTCCCTTCCTTAGGAAGACATAAGTGCTCATCAAATTTTGTGTCAAATTTTAGGGAGGCTCATGGACTTTGAAAATTCTACTTATAGGTCTTGAGATAAGTATGCCTGGCATAACTGTGTGTACAGCTGAAAAGAAGGACCTCAGATGATTTCCACCACTGAATTCAAATAAAAGAGACAATAAATATTCATTTCTACAACATCACTGTTTTGTGCAGAGTGCTGCTTTTGTCTTTATGG